TCTTCGAGTTCTGGCAGCGAACTCCTTGGGTCGGGTGGCGGTCTCTGGTCGGTGTTCAGGTCCTCGGGGTGGTCCTCAGGTTGGCGTTGGAGTTCTTCGAGTTCTGGCAGCGAACTGAGGATTTTAGTCTGGAATCGTTGGTTTTATTGTCCCAATCCCCCCCTTGACTAGGCAGGAGTCGTGGTGGGACTATGCGCGCGGCCCTCGACAGAGTGGGGCAGCGGACGGTTTCGGCTCAACTCGCGGTTAATTGCTCTCACCCAATTAAACTAATTAAATAAATAACTGGCCCACGGCCTTGCATAAAACTGGAAATTAATACCGGTTCATTACAAAATATATGGGCTAATATGAGAACTAAAACAAAAACACACACAGGCAAACTCGTTGATTATATGATAATAATAATTAATTCAGGAATTTAACAAAATTGGAAATATAATTGAATCGCGACTATATTTGTCACGACAGCGTGGAAAAGTGTGGTTCATATCGGCACAGGCCGGACATAGCAGTCGTTATTTCGCTGACAGGGTTGTTTCAGTCAGCCAAGGTCTATGCCGAACTTTGCATTTCAACTAAAAGAATTTGTCCTTGGCTCTAATATGATCTTACGATATAACATAATAATAACAACGGTTTCTATTAAACTCATTTCCTAAATAACATAGAATTCTTCTAGTATTTAATTGGATAATGTTATACAGGCTGTTAATTAAGTATGTATAATAAATTTAACAGACAGTGATTTTAAGACAATGCTTCGTTTTCGTGTTAAACTTTTATAAAAAAAATTGATATTTCGTAAATATCTTAACCCAGTTTTGAAACGCAACAAATATAATAGCCACTTTTTACTTTATAACTGATATTCCATCCGACGACATTTCTTCTCCATATTTATAGTGAGAAAAAAAAATATGTAATGGTCTATTAGCGTTGGTTGCATGGGCTTTAATATGAACTTGACACGACAGTATTAAGATAATAATAACGGTTTCTATTAAACTAAATAGCATAGAATTAAGTAATTAAATAGATAATGTTATACAGAGTGTTAATTAAGTATGTACAATAAATTTAACAGACAGTGATTTTAAGTCAATGCTTCGTTTTCGTGTTAATTTTAAACATTTTGGGATATAAAAAATATAGTCTATGTTACTCCGGGAAAATGTAGCATTCTAATGGTGAAAGAATTATCGAAATCCGTTTTTGAGTTTAACAAACATACTTACATACAAAAAATACAAATCTTTCCTCTTTATAATATTAGTATAGATAGTATACAGATATTCCATCCGAGAGCATTTCTTCTCCATATTTATAGTGTGAAAAAATATATGTAATGGTCTTTACTCCTATAACTAAGGTGAAGGGTTGAATTTACCATTCAGTAACAATCTAACAACAATTCAATTCCTCCGTTCTCTCTCAATCAGACAACTCGTATATAAGTTACAAGAGATGTGTTATTTAAAAAACAAAACATCCGGTAGCTATTTATTTCAAACAGTAGTTTATTTTTGTTCATATTAACTTATTTCCTAAATAGCATGGAATTCTTCTAGTAATTAAATTCTTTATCCTCGGATTTTAAGCGCTACCCAACGTAAATTTTATACTAATAGCTGAAATATTCAATATCTCAACCACATTATTCCTCTTGTTAAATGCTACTACGGTGGTCTAGAGGTAACGGGCTCGCTTTGCAAAGGTTCGGGGTTCGAATCTCAGACAGAGCAAGACTTTTTTAATTTAAATAAAATTCGAAATCAACTTTAAATTTACAGCCCACCTCTCTCCTTCACTCCGATCTCTATTGCACAAACGTTTAAATCTAGAAATTTGAATTTACCACCAATTTTATTGCCGCACTCTCATTGATCAAACAAGCTATGGTTACTCGATTTTAAATTTACTGCCAATTTGCCGCGATCTGATTGGTCGAGAGACGTGGCCAATTTGAATGCTACGCTCTGATTGGTCGATGGGCGTGGCCTAAAATTGGAGGAGAGGGGGTAAAATTCGTCAAAAATGACCAGGATGAACCTTCATAAGAAAATACATGGGATTTTGGCGTCGTACGCCCCTAGCTTATCTACTGGTATTTTTGCATTTTTCCAAGTATTTAAGCAAATCTTTCATAGTTGTTTGGGTATATTGCAGTAATTATATAGTTAGTTATTGATAATTGTTTTTAATAAGTTGATGGTGTAGTGTTTAATATAAACTATTAATTTACCACATAAAAATGCCAGGAGTGAAGTGTAGTGTTGTAATTTGCAATAATAATTTTCATAGTGCTAAACAAGACAATTTATAAAACTTTATTTAATGTGTTTCCTAAGGATAAAAGGCTTAGAAAGATATGGGTGCAACGATGCTATTTGTTTAATCATATAACTGGACATATTTGTAGTACACATTTTGAAGACTCAAACTTTGAAAGCGATCTTCAAGCAGAGCTATTAAGTTTATCATCAAGAAAAAGACTTAAATAAAACAGGTTGTATGTTAAATTTCTAGTTTAACTGATTGTATTCACTTCAAAAGGACTAAATTTATTGTTATTGTTGTATAACAAATTGATGTTATTGTTAGAAAAGCGATTGGAAATTTTAAGTAGGTATTTATCGAAATGATTTTAATATTTCTGTAAACTTGACAATTTTTCTTAAAATTAAATGTTATGTCAAAAGTAACTATAATAACTTTTCCTCTTCATCCTTTCCTTTTATTCCCCAATTTAACTCCGAACACCGAAAAAAACTCTTTGAAGACTAAAAACTACTGTATAGTTTACTTGTAAAAAACTAGGAATTTTTTAATTCGGAATATCAACTGGAAAAGGATAAATATGATAACTAATTGGTACCTACGTACAATAATAATTATGTTGCAGTCTATTATAAAGTACTTTGGTAAGTTATATGAAATTTAACTAAAGACAAAAGCAGATGCAATAAGATCATATAAATTGTATGGTTTTTATTTTGGAGCCAAGAGAATATTAAGATAGGTCTAAATTGTCTATATATTCACTTCACCTCTTCATTTTATTAGAGTTTATTAATAGATATCTGTAATAAAATTAACACAAATTTTAGGTTAATTGTGCAACCAAACGTCAAAATTGGTGACCGATAGTGGTGTGTATTCAAGACAATTTCACATTTTATCCTTTTATTTCCAAATTCCAATGTAGAGGTTCAGTTTGTATATAAAGGTAACATTTTAGACTCAAAATACCTGTTAATTAACCATAATCATAACTGATTAAATTTATTATTTTATGTTAAAAGGAGCGTGGTACAAGAAAAGTGACAATTTTAAATTTGCCTCTTATTTTCTTATGGGATAGGTATGCAATGAGTCAGAAAAAAAACTGAGGAATTTAGTGACGTATTTGTTTTTTATTGGCTGATTGACTTATGCGGCGACCGTCTCTTTACGGACCGTGGTCTACGTCCGCATTTCGATGACAGCTGTCAAACGATAAGTGTGTAGCCGCTATTAACGTATTTGAGTTTATTTGTGTTTAGTGTGTCATTTTCGTCTTATTGTTGTCTAGTTTTTATATATGGACATTTATTTAGTGCTAAGACATGGTTAGAAAGTGTATTATTTGTATAGTTTTATTTAAAAAGGGCGAGCAGCGGTCTTTCCACAGGTAAGTAAACAAGCAACCTGGGCGGCGTTTGAGTAATTACATAAGGGTGTTTTACATTTAGTACTTAATTAGCAGTGATAAAATACTGACTAAATCATTATCTAAATTATTAAAATGATACTTATATTTTTTAATTGTTCAACTTATTTTTTCCTATTTCAGTAATATTATAAGTATATTATGAGTAATACCTGTATTTTTTAGATTTCCTAAGAATCTGGAACGAAGAAACTTGTGGAAGCTCTCCCTAGATGATGTCAATATTACAGACATTTTTGTTCTAATCATTTTGCGATTAATGATTTTCTGACAATGCCATCAGGTATAAAGTACTTGCGAGCGACAGCTATTCCAGTAATAGCTTATACTTATAGCAGATAAAATAACTTTTATATTGATTAAAATATACAAGTAAAAAGCCTTTACGGTTACTTAGTACCCCTTTACCTTTTTATTTAATTTTTATAGATCAGACAGTTCAAATAAGGAAAATATTCCTATAAATAATGTTCCTACGGAACAAAAACCAGAAAATATATCCACATGTTCATCGTCATCGACACTGAGTGCTCAATCAGGCTTGTTATCTATTACAAATAAGGCTACAGATCTTTCTGAAATATATTTGAAATTTGGTAACACCGCACCAAAACATTCATCAACTTTAACTGCGTCGTAAATATGAATGGATTCACCCAATCGTAATAAAATTATAAACATGAAGTAAGTTATAAAAATATAATTAACTAATTATATATCCTTTGTATGGTATCTACAACTTATACACTATCTGTTTACCAATTTTTTTTATTCAGTACATTTTAAAAAATATCAAGAAAATCCTACCTTGTTACCTATTTATATATTACCATTTTATTTTATATAAACACTACCGTAAGAGTTTATATAAAATACATCTGGAATAGATAATTTATTATTTTTAGGAAAAGGCCTTATTCACGATATTTTGGCGAATGCCATACTTCTAACATGGATAGTCCAAAAAGAGCAAGAAGAGTATTTGTAAGAAAAAAATAAAAATGCAAACAATAAAGATCTGAAATCTACAGCAAGCAGAGTCGTCTAAAAGCCAGAATTTGTAGCCTTAATTCTCTTCTGAAATTTTTGAAAAAGAAATATGACAACAGAAACTGCTCAATTCATGTAAGTTGAAAAATACTTATTCTTTCTGTGTCTATAAACAATATGTATTTTTAGGAATCAGCACCTAGAATGTTAGGTGAAATCTGTCAAAGATCTAGAAAAGGACAATCTCGTAAAAAGTATTCACCTGAGTTTAGGTCGTTTGCCTTAACGTTAAACTTTTATTCAACAGATGCTTATAATTATGCAAGAAGATGGCTTTGCCGCATACAAAAACAATTTCTAAGTGGTACAGATCTATATAACGAGCGTTCAAATAAAAACGTGGTCGAAGTTGGCTCTGACACATTGGACGTAGGGAGTAGCTTATAGCGACCAACTTAACGTCATTTCTCAACGAGCTGTATAGCAACTGTCAGTTTCAGTAATGTTAATGACTATATAACTTTATTTTAAAGAATAATCGTGATAACAATAACAAACAATTAAAGGAGCTGCGGAAAGTGTCCCCCTCCTTGTTCCAAGCACTTTTCACACCTGTTCCTCAAAGAATTAAAGACATTTTCTAAGATGCTCGGGGTATTGTTAATTTCACGAATCTTGTCTATAAGTCGAGCCTGCAGATGGTTTAAATCAGGAATAGGCAGTTCAAAAATAGTGTTTTTAAGGTAAGGCCACAAAAAGAAATCACACGGCGTAATATCACATGACCTCGGTGGAAATTCATGTTCAGCATTGAGACTTATTAGTCGATTTTGGAAAACTTCCCTCAACATATTCATCGTCTCGCCTGCCGTATGTGCCCTTGCGCCATCTTGTTGAAAGTAAAAGTTTGTAATTTCGTTTTCTTCCAGCTGGTTAACAAAAGGAGCGATAATTTCTTCTCTATACCTTTGCGCAGTAAGAGTACCATTAAAAAAAATAGGTCCATAAATCCTCCTTCGATTGAGAGCACACCAAACTCCAATTTTTTGAGCGTGTAGAGGGCCCTCGACAAAAAAGTTATCTGGTTTTTCAGAAGACCACATTCTCATATTCTGTGAGTTTACGTAACCACTTAAATGAAACCAGGCTTCATCAGAAAAAAAGGTGATATTATGAAGTTCACCGTAGTTGTTTAAAAACCATTCACAAAATACAGCCCGTCGCGGAAAATCAACTTCATGAAGTTCTTGCTGACAAGTTAAACGATAGGAGAACAAACGCAAATCTTTTTTTAACACTGTGTGGCAGGTACCGACTGATACTCCCACCATTTGTGATAAAACACGTACAGAAGTTCTTGGCGCATTTTCCATTATTTGTTGGACATTTTCTTTTAATTCTTCAGTCCGCTTTTTAGGTCGGCCGCTTCCTTCTTTTCTTGTTACACTGCCCGTTTCACGAAAAACATTAACACAACGCTGAACTGCACTTTGAAAAATTTTGTACTCAACAACGCCGGGAAATTGATTTTGAAATTCTATGAAACATTCCTCAATAGAATACTTCCATATTCCATCAATCTTGCGTCCATTTCTAAAGTAGGACTCTATGATAAACACTTTTTGTTCTTAAGAAAACACCATTCTAAACGCTTTATAAAACGAAAATATTCAAATTGATAGCGGCGATATAGCGCTTTGACAGATGACGTTTAAGTTCATTTGCTATACGCTACGCCCTACGTCCAAATTTTCAGAACCAACTTGACCACGTTTTTATTTGAACGTTCGTTATATGGAACACCTGGATTTACAAATGAAGCATTGGCAGTAGATATATGAGGCGAGTTCTGGACCAGGAAGTGACGTGGCAAGGTCACCTGAGGTCAAGGTCACCCCAAGGTCACCTGGGGTCAAGGTCATGCCAAGGTCACCTGGGGTCAAGGTGTTGTCAAGGTCACCTGGGGTCAAGGTCGCCTAGGGTNCAATTTTATTGCCGCACTCTGATTGATCAAACAACCTATCGTTACTCGATTTTAAATATACCGCCAATTTGCTGCGATCTGATTGGTCGAGACATGTGGCCAATTTGAATGCTACGCTCTGATTAGTCGTGGCCTAAAAGTGGAGTGGAAGGGGTAAAATTCGTCAAAAATGACCAGGATGAACCTTCATAAGAAAATACATGGGATTTTGGCTCCGTATGAACATAGCCTATCTACTGACAACCTTAAGGGTAATAATTCGATTGCGTAGCAATAATTACTAATATGAATAATTATTCATAACCAACACTTAGGAGATTTATTGGCATAATACTGTAATGAAGACCCCAGAATCGCAAACTCACAGTGCTCAATAAACATTGTGCAAAACATTCCAAAAGGTCAGTTGAAACTCTCAAAACTTTGAACTCTAAAAACAAGTGCAATAAATCAGTTAATAGAGCGTGGATTCATCTTCCTAAAGCAGTTTACGATCTCGTCATCAATGGAGGAAAACGACAGTCTGCGCGTCATCCACCCCCGCCGTACTTTACGGATATCGTCAAGGAGGAGGCCCGAGCCTACTGGAAATCCCCTTATCGACGAGCGGACGACTAACATCCCAGCACCACAGGCAAAAATGGAGCCAAACCAAGTTGTTCCATCCGACATCATCTTGTGCTTAAGGATCTTGGTGGTGAGAGGCCACCGCCGATGCCCAATAGAGCTACACGACGTCGCGCTGTCCAGCAAGGAGCGCCGATGCCCGAAAGCTCTGCGGCTAATCAAAATCCGACGACTTCAATCAATATTCCAAACTATTATTGTACACTGTCTTGGATATGTCTCCTGAACATTTAGATCTCTGAATCGCAACATTTAGTTATTTTTACGAGTATAAATATTCATTTGAAATTGCAAGTTTTTTCTAGAAGAATACGTCGAATTAGAACCATGTACCACCAGAATTATAATAAATTTATTATAACGTTTAATTAGGTTACAGAGTGAAGACACAAATTTGGAAGGAAAATTTACAGTTGTCCCCAAAACAAACTGTTAAAATTAATTTATTTTCTCTCATTCTCAAAAATTCAGCCCTCCATCTTTGGAAAAATAGATCTAAACATGTCATGGAGAACTTAACTTAAACAGTTTCATATAGGTAATTGAAACTATGAAAAGAAGGCAACTTTGCTAATAGTTGTTCTATGGTGTGAGGTTGTGAAAGTTTTAAGAACAATAACTGATAAACAAAAAGATTATCACAATTGAACGCTGCTTTAGAAATAAAAAAATAGCGACGCATAATTTAAGGGTACAAGAAAGCTAGGAAGACAACTTGTAGCAGGTATAGCGCAAATTGTGAAATTAGTTTATCTTACTACACCGGCAGATTTCCAAGAACAACTAGCGGTTTCATTGGCAGCCTGCAAGATTCTGAGATCAGAGGACTATTGAAGACATAGGCTCAGTAAACGCTAACATATTATTGAGGCTTTAGCCCAAGCTCTGGAAATCGAAGCAACTCAACAAGCATCTACAGGCTGTCAGTATAGAAAAGTTAACTTAGGTATCAGTCGATTGAACAACGAGAAGTCGAAAATAACTATGAAAGACTGATGAAGAGCTTCCTAGATTTTTTGGACAACTTTCACTAAAGACAATACCGTACTATATTTAGCAGACGAAAACCTGTCCAATTTCGGAATTGCAGTGCCGAGGCGCATCTTAGAAATCGATGCCCTAAGAACACAACAAACCAGGATAACAGAAAAGCCAACTAACGACGGTCGAAAGCTGATAAGATGTTACCCAGCCGTCTCATCTGGAAAGATAAAGGTAATCTCGTCAAAATAACAGAACCAGTTTGGTAGTTCGGCAAAGACAACTGAAGACCAGAGCTAAAAAATTGGAATGCATTTTCCTAAAATAATCATGCAAGACATGAAAAATAGCTATTGGCAAGTCTAACTCCATCCAGATGATAATAAAAAGATAACCACGGGTTTGTGATAGCTCAGCGTGATGCTACATATTTGCCATATTTGGACTTTGTACTATGTCAACCATGTTTGAAAGACTTGAATGTCCATTTATCTGTACAAAGCAGTGTTAATCATCTAAGAAACTGTGTTTCTTTCCAAACTCCGTCATACCCTAAGCCCAGAAAGAAGTTTATTGTAGACACTGATATCAGTAATACTGGAATTAGATATATAATCACAAGTAGAAGAAGGTTACCATAAAATAATTTCCAATTTTAATTAGCAATCTCTCACCATTGTTGCTGTGGAGCATTTTCACAACTTCACAACTATGTCTATGATCGTTTTGAGAATTGATCATGCCTCATTCAATTGATGGGTGCAAGCTCGGAAGCCCAAGGATGACTTCAACGTTTACAGTAGTACAACTTCAAAATTGAACACCGGAGAGGAGTTAGCCATCGTAATGCTAAAGCTTTATGGAGGAGACTGTGCTGTGACAAATCTCCATATCTGAAAAGTTACTGGTCACTATGGTATTCCTCAACTATCGCAAAAAATCTACCAAACTATATTTTCTCAAAAAATGGTTCCAGATGTACTTCGAACGCTTCATCAAATAGTCGGTGATCATTTTGGAATAATTAAGACTTTGGATAAAATAAAGGAGCGATTCCACTGGCCAAGGTGTTCTAATGTGGAATAATGACACAAACATCGGGACATCCTCGTAGCTGGACCATTTTCTTGTAGTCCTGGAAAGCACTATATTTTGGTAGTTATGTATTGCTTCAGCAAATGACTAGACATATCTCCCATACCTACTAAGAAAGCGGTTACTGTAGCTGAAGGTTCCATTTGAAAATGCTGTTATGTAGTTCCTAGGAAAATCCATTCATGTTAAGGACGGAATTTCGAATCTGGTGTATTTAAACATTTTTGCTGTCTATTTGGTATCTCCAAAATTAGGATCACATCTCTATATCCAGATGGTATAGTCGAGAAGTTTAACCAAACCATTAAAAATTTCCTAAGAGCTGCCGTAAATGAGAAGCAGGCTAACTGGAACACTTGCCTTTCTCCATTTTTATTGGTCTATAGAACAGCAAATCAAAACCACTAATAAAACACCAGCAAAAGTGATTTTTGGCAAAGTGTAATGATTTATATCTTAGCCATATGAAAATTAAAAAAAAACTCATGTTAAGTTTACATCTCTGTAATCGATGGTCAATTGTTTCCCCAATATTTGGAACTATAAAAAAGTTTCTACAGAATTCATGACTCATGGAAGCTTTTATTTTCTGCACAAATTATTAAAAACAGTTAATAAGTTAAGTGTTCGACTAAAAAATGAATAGTGAAAAGCACATCTCTGTTTGTTTGAAAGGTACAGAGCGCTTCTTGTTATTAGCTCTTTTGTACACAAACGAATTTTAAGTTAAATATTAAGTATATATATCAGTTTAAAACAAATTTATGCAGAGTTGAAGAATCTGAAAAAGTTCAGCCAAAATATATATCGAAACCTGAAGAAAAAATTCTGTTCACAAGAATGAATGGTTTTCAAAAAATATAATAAATGATTACAAGACACGTGACCAGTAATTTTGATTGAAACAGCAAGTTTATTTCCTTTATGTTAACCATTAAATTTCGATAAAATTAAAAATTATTAAAATAGTTCAAGTTTACATTAAAACGCAACGTTCCGTTTCACCAGTTGTGATTGATGTAATTTTTCACGTGATACTATTCAACCAACCAGCAATTTAATTATCTCCAGAGTAGACGAAACAGTTTGTCATTGCTCATTGTCATTAATATTAGCGACGCCAAGATCTAGGGAATTTTCAATCGTGTAATGTTGAGTTGCTTAAGCTCGTCGGTCACGTGGCTTGTAAACATTTATTATATATTGAGGTCGTAAGGTAAAGCAAAAAAAAAGGAAAACTCTGTCTATTTCTTCAGCGAATAGTCGAGGAAATAAACCACAAAAAGAGCCGAAATCTCCGAAATTTTTCGATCAAGTCGTATCAAGATGGGATTTTTTGCATTCGCTTTCTAAAATTATGTGGAAAAAATGTAGCAACTTTGTATTATGTTTTTCGGTCAAATTGCATTTGTGCACTGCAAAATGCATCCGGAAAAATACATTTTAAATCACTTAAAAAAAATTCATAACTTGGTTAATAATGCCTGGAATTGACTCGAATCAGGTTCCTGGGGATTTTCGAGGTTGGTGATCCCGTATATAATCTTTAAATTGGTCCATCGCCGACCAGGAGCGAAGCATTGATGATGAACGTCATCTCCAAGGCTTCTCCTGAATTTCACTCTTAAATGCATCGAGACTTGACACCCGGAGGTTTTTCGGGTCGCTGATTCCTAATCTGGCGTCAGCGAGCACCCCCCGGACACCTGTTACACCAGAACCTGGACATGGACGTCATCTCCGGGAGTTTTCCTGTAAAATTCGCGTAAACCAGCCGAAAATCGCATCAGGGGGTTTTTCGGAGCGCTCTTCTCGAAATCATCTTATAACATGACGACTGTGGGCTTCCAGATCGGAGCCCTCGAAAAACTATCCGGGCCCTATACGTTAGTTGATGATAAAAATGATATTTAGTAGAATATTTCCAAATTAAAGTTAATAGTTGATTAGATTAGGATAAAATGGAGTTAGATTATATTTGAGTTAAATTAAATTGAAGTTAAGAGTATATTAGAAATGGTAATTGACTTGGAAATAAATGATTTTGATTTGTTTTTGAAACAACACTTGCATACATTGTGACATTCGTTCAATTTATTCCCTCTATTTTCATCTTGCATACTTTAAATGGGATCAACAGTTTCAAACAAGTTATTGCAGTATTAACGGCAGTATCAAATATATTGAAAATTTACTGTTTATTGATTTTTCTGGCGATAACGCCGAATTCAAGGTCCAGGTTCCGGTGCACCAGGTGACGGGAGGTGGTCACGTTCTCGTTGCATTTAAGAGTGAAATTCAGGAGAAGCTTCGAAGATGACGTTCATCATCAATCCTAAGCTCCAGGTCGGCGATGGACCAATTTGAAGGTCATATTCGGGATCGAAAACCCCCAGGACTCTGATTTGAGTCCATTCCAGGCATTATTAACCGAGTTATGAATTTTTTCTAAGTGACCTTAAAAAATGTATTTTTCTGGAGCATTTTGCACTGCACAAATGCAATTTGACCGAAAAACATAATACAAAGTTGATACATTTTTCACATAATTTTAGAAACCGAATGCAAAAAATCTCATCTCGATACGACTTGATCGAAAAATTTCGGAGGTTCAGTGCTTTATTTCCTCGACTAGAACCTAGTTTTATGTATCCTGTACACATACTCGCATAGATGATACAAAATTTCTGACCTTATTTTTTAAGGAACTTAAAAATAGTTTAAATGATATCGTTATCATTTAGAAATATAGAGCATTTTTGTTTAAGGAAGTAACGCCCGAAAGCCATGCAACAGAGCCTCTAACAGTAGATCTACGTCAAAACAAAGCAAATCCCTCCTGCAGCTCTAAATCAGGTTCGAAAATTAATTTTAGACTTCCCAAATTCGACTGTCTTAAACCCAGGTTATTTTATATATTTATTTTTATATTTATTTGTAATCGTCTTGTGTCGTTTTTCTTTGTAATGGAAATATTAATAGCTATTTATGTTAAAAAACCTGGTTATAGTAACTACATAGTAGTAGTAACTACAACTTTTTTACAAATTGTCTAGGAGTTCCAGCCCTGAAAATTTGAAAAATATTTTTATTGGATAAATATGGGGTTTTTATTAGTGTAGTCTTATTAAGTTGATAATATTCTGAATCCGTTTAGTTACTTTTGTATTAGTATAAAGTAATTAGCATGCCTCTAGCTCAGAAGCGTGTTCGATAAATTCAATAAGGCTAGAATCTGGATATGCATGAAAAGGGATTATCATTTCTCCCGTCAATCGAGCCGTCTCAGTGATACAGTGTCAGCAGGCGTGGACTGGAGAGAATAGAGGGACGTTGATCTAGAACAATAGTTCCCAAACTTTTTGAAGTTGCAACCTCCTCTTGGATCAGATATTTGTTTGTCCTCTTTCCCTCTCCCCCTTCCACACCTGCCTTACTGCACTCAAAAATTCAAAGTATAGTTCAACTTATTTCATCTAACCGATGAAAATTAGATGCGTAGTGGCAATGAGAGAAGCGCGCTTTTGGCGCTCAATGGCAGGTCCGTATAGTCGCCCAGATCGTCTAGTGCCAACACATTGTTTAACTGCAGAAACGGCCCCATTTCTTAAATCTACAATCCGCCTTCACACATATCAATGATTCATTTAATTATGATCAGTGAATAGTGAATGTGTTTTCGATCTAGAGACATGTTAATCGCTCTATATTAACCCTTTCGCGCTTAATGGTATACCACATATACCACATGTATCAAATTTTTTCTCGATTCTGCTTTGTGGTTCATTGTGCGTACCATCGATTTATTTACTTATTTCACTTGTGCCCTCTCTTATAAAGCGGAAAAAACTTGGATAACTTGCCACAGATGCCTACAGTTGATATATTTCTAACCGTTCTCGTAAACAAACGTGAAATTTTAGTGGTCGGTTTCAAACAATAATAAACAAGGAAAATGGCAAGTAAGTTCCTATAGATATTGTTCTAGCAATTCATTAGCATGCAAATATATCATAATTGTATATGTTTACATAAAAATATTGTTTCTAATCGTTATATTTCTGTGGTATTTCAAATATACCACTACGCATGAACGAATTTGTAAATCATATTTTTTTATTTGATAGAACGAAATGTTTGGAAGTATGACGATTTAGCAAAATTAACAGAAAGCGAGGTAGACGCATTATTGACAGAAATTCCTTCTGATGGAGAATCAATTGATGAGTTTGACGATGAAGAGGACGTAGAAGACACTCCTTCCGTGGCTATCGAGTGCGATATAGATGAATTTACTGCTGCGCCTATTCAAAATTTATCAGATTCTGAGAATGAAGAAGATGATCTTCCATTATCTCATTTTGTACCAATGAATAAATTTATTTGGAAAAAACCTCTAATGGTTACGAATACGGGCAGGCAAGAGAATGTTTTTTCAGAAAGTGTCGGACCTGCTAACGTACCCGATGAAGTTGAATCACCAGTTGATATTTTTTGTTGTCTCTTGAACGAACAATTTATCGAACATATCGTTTTTCAAACGAATCTTTACGCTACCCAACGTGGAAAAACATTTGTCCCAACAACTACGAGAGAAATAAAAATATTTTTGGCCATAAATATTTTGATGGGCGTGAAAAGACTTCCTAGCTATCGGGATTTCTGGTCAGCTCAAATGGAGCTGAGGGATTCTTATATATCAAATCTAATGAGCCGTACTCGATTCGATTGGCTTTTAGGAAACTTTCATTTGAATGATAATACTCTTCAGCCAGCCCGTGGACATCCTAATTATGATAAACTATATAAGTTGCGTCCATTTTTAAATTCCTTATTACATACATTTAGTTTCTTCTATAAAATACATGAAACAATATCAATAGATGAATCTATGATTTGCTTCAAAGGTCGTTCTTCAATCCGCCATGCCTAACAAGTCAATAATATGGGGGTACAAGGTTTGTACTAGGGCAGATGTACATGGCTACATAGATGAATTTCAAATATATACGGGAAAAGTTAACGAGACTGCAGAGAAAGAATTAGGACCTCGAGTAATTACAGATTTGACCAGATCTTTAGTTGGAAAACATTATTTTGTATATTTCGATAATTATTTTACATCCTTGGTACTACTGAGACAGTTGCAGAAGGAGAATATTCACGCGACAGGGACTATTCGAAAAAAGAGAAAAGGAATTCCAGATGATTTTAAAACCGATAAAGAACTCAAACGTGGCGATTTTGATTGGCGAGTAACTGATGATGGAATTTCCTGCGTCAAATGGATGGACAAGAGAATAGTTCTGTTAGGTTCCAATTATGAAAATCCGTCTGACACTGACCATGTAGTAAGGAGAAAGAAGAATGGTGAAATGGAGAATGTTCCGTGCCCTAAAGTCTTGAAAAATTATAATCAAAACATGGGTTTTGTCGACAAAGCCGATATGCTGAAGAAAACATACCAAATTGATAGAAAGAGTAAAAAATGGTGGCCGCGAATATTTTGGCACTCTATTGATGTCAGCGTAGTCAATGCGTTTATAATTTTTCAGCAACGATGTGGAAACAATAGAGGCATGAATCTAAAGGCGTTTCGTTTGGCTGTAGTGACAGGATTGGTAGGAGCTGGAAAGGAAACAGTGAAAAAGGGAAGAGCAAGTTTGGAACAGAAAAATGTGAATAACTACAAGCCACCACTTGAAAAAAGATGGGATCAGTCTTTACATATGCCGGTTTATGGAAATTACCGACGTTGTGCTCTCTGTAGTACCCGAGATCATCAAAGACGATCTAAATGGGCTTGCGATACTTGTGGTGTTGCTTTATGTTTGTCCGATAAAAAAGACTGTTTTCAAAGATTTCATAAGAAATAATGTGTAAGTAATGCTCCGCAGCTTAGTGGTATATCTGTAATACCTCCATTTTTCAAAAAAACTAAGGAAATAAAAATGTTATAAATATATATATATGTTACTTCTTAATTCCCTTTCTACCGCCATATCTGAAATCACACAAAAAAAACAACTTTTTCTAAATGCTGCCCTGAAAGGGTTAAAACAGCACTACTGACTAGTGGTCGGATACTATCGATAGTCACAGCTATCGATAGTTTCCGATAGTTTTGATCATAACTATGGATAGTATATATGGTACTATCGATAATTAATAAAATAAAATTCCGAGGAAAATCAGAATAATGAACAAAAATAAAAAATATATATTTTGTAATAAAAATTAAACTTTAGAATACTATACATAAAACAGAACAAAACATAAACATTAAAATGAATACCTATTTTAATAAGCCAATCCAACAGAAATTTATTTTGATGCAAAAAGATTAGCATATTTAAATTTTTCGGTTTGATTCTACTTTTTTTGCTCAATATATTACCTGCAGCAGAGAAAACCCTTTCTGATGTCACAGAGGTAGCGAGAATGCAGCAATATTTTTCTACAAGCTCATATAATTCAAAAGAAAGAATCTTATTTGCTTCCCAATATTTAAGTACTGAGGAATGTAACGGAATTGTGGGCTCTCTAAATACTGCCTTACCTTATGACATCAGTCCGCGGTGTTGTACTTTGTATTTGCTGCGCTGATTTTTCTCCTAGAAAATGAAATATTTTCCAAGCCGATATTTTGTCTTCCTTAGTCGAAGAGCTAGGGCCAGGGTTATTTGCCACTGCTACTACAGATTCCGGCGTAATCTCCGTTAGTGTTGGTACATCATCTGAGACTGAGGAAGATTGTTTAGCTCCAGCTAGTCCAGTTTGGCTTTTTTCTTTTCCGAGCATTTGAGTTAATCGTTAAAATATTTGTGCGTTTTTGTAATTGTCATCATTGCGAAAAGCAGCTCTTTTAAGCGGGGATCAAGTAAAGCTCCAATACTTGTTGGAGTTTCATACGGTACCAGTTTTTAACGGTTTTTTAAATCTTCTAATAATTTTTTTCCGCATTGAGTCTGAGGCTGTACTATGTAAAAATTATTATACAAGCCATGAATAATATATATAATCGATATATGTAGTGACATATTTATCCCCTGAAATTTGTTCTGTTACATGCAGAGCAGGACGAGATGTCTTTATATCATCTTCAATAATATAAATTTCATCCTGGCTTAGTGGAGCTGGTGCCCTCAGAACAAAGCCAAAGTTATTTGGTCTTTAATTAATAAAATTATCTTCATCATTAGATAGGTACCTATGCACTATTTCAGCGTCTTGTATAAGCTTTAAGATCAGTTTATTTTGTTCCTGTTGAATAGATCGCAATTTATCATATTTAGTGCTTTGTTTAAAATTAGTAACTATATTTTTGCAACGGTTTATGACGTCCAATAGAATTTGTTCTTTTCTTCAACAGAATCTTGTACAATTAGCATTAGAGTGTATGCAAAGCATGATGACGCACATTTAAAAGCTCACATGCTAAAACCATATTTTGTGCATTATCAGTCACGAGAGCTGCTACTTTGGCAGTTGTCAGTTGCCAATTATATAATATCAGGCTTTTTTTCGTGAGTGAAGTCATATGCTGTAGTATGTGTAGTATGAGTGAATATTACATTTTTGCGAGAATAGTCAGTCATTTAAACTACTATGTGACATCACAAGTTTAGATCAAATGACTGAACTCTTCAGCCTTCAGCTGAATATTTTGTTGGTATATTCAATTAGTATTGTCAGCCGGTAACTTAACCTTTTTCTTTTTGACATTTTGTTTGAATGAGGATAAAAATCGTTCAGCAAAATGATGGATTCTGATACGGCTGTGGAAGTGGTCAGTTTAAATTTAAACTTTAGAGGCACAGATGTTTTATTAAACGTAGAGTTGAAACAGCAAATAT